TCTTAAGGTAGTATTACTTCATCTGATCTGGGGAAGGCTTCTCGAGTATAGCCCATCGGTACCTTTGTACTCCAGGTGTGCATCTAGCCTCCTTTCAAAGGTATAAGGGGATGGGGCTGTAACAACTGCTGAAGGGAGGGAATTCCACAGTTTACAGACTCTAACTGCAAATGAGTTAGGACGGATCTTTGTACGTGCTCTCTCATGCTCTATTCCTAACGGGCGACCCCCAAGTAGCGTTTCCGACTAAAGCTTAGAAGAGTTCTATCAGGATGGAGGGGATTATGGGCGATGTGGCACATCATGATCATATCCCCTCTGATCCTCCGGTGTTGTACTGGGTGCGGCTGAAGAGCGACTAAGCTGCCTGGGTATGGTTTGTGCCGTAACCCAGTCACCTTCTTTGTAGCCCTTCTCTGTACCCGTTCTAGGATGGCAATGTCCTTTGTCAAGTATGAGGACATTACAAGCGACTTTTTTTCTAAATGAGGACGAATGTACAGAGCATACACTGTGGTGAAAAGGGAAGTAGTTAGACACCCTGAGGTTCGAGAGAGAAACCCCAGGACTCCATAAACCCTACTGGCTGCAAGGCAACAGTGAACAGAGGCTCCTAGTGTATCGTGTAGTGTAACTCCCAGATCTTGCTCCATGTTAGAGCGACAGATATTTATTTCACCCAGAGAATAGGAACTGGGACTGCCTTCATGTTGGTGAACTATTATAATTCGACACTTCTTCCAGTTGAGAGGAAGCAGGCTTTCCGTAGTTTGATTAAAAATTTTCGTAAGGTCCTCCTGGAAGACCGAAATATCTGTTGGCTTTCGTATTTCCCTCCAAATCTTCAGATCATCGACACATAATGGTGAATGTGAACTAAGGACCCCTGGCAGGTCATTGATAAAAGCAAGAAACAGTAGCGGGCCCATCATGGAACCCTGAGACACACCACTCAGCATCGGGAAGCAATCGGATAGAGAGGAGCCGACTCTAACTGACCGCACCCTGGTGTACAGATAATCTCCAAGCCAGATCAATAATTTTCTGTGGACACCCATGAGCTGGAGTTTCTTACAAAGGACTTCATGATTTACCCTGTCAGAGGCCTTAGAAAAGTCAAGTAAACCAATGTGTATAGGCTTTTTCTTCTCGACAGAGAGTGTCCAGCTATTCCAAGCCATCAACAAGTTGGTGTTACGTGACCTTCCTGGTGTAAAGCCATGCTGACAGCCGTTTAGGATTGATTTCTGAAGTAAGTGATCACGAATTGAGTCACTTATGACTCTCTCCATGACTTTCGCAACTGAAAAGATCAGGGAGATTGGTCTGCAGTTGGAGGCGAGTAGTTTGTTTCCACCTTTATAAATTGGGACCACAGCCGCCAGTTTCCAGTCAGAGGGTAAACTGCCTTCCAGAAATGAGCATTTGAAGAGGTTTGCTAGTGCGACAAACAGAACTTTGGCACACTCCTTGAGTACTCTTGAGTGAATACCATCGATTCCTGGAGACTTGTTCGGGTTCAGTTTCTTTAATATTTCCATAATTACAGAGGGTTTAGACTCTATATGATTTGGTCCCTCTCGAATACGGGTGTCCGACGGAGGCAGGGTTTTGCCTCCCAAATGGCAGTTGTTTTGGAACTCATGAGCTAGTAGGTTTGCAACTTCGGAGTCGGAATAGAGAATCTCCAAACTAATGAGGTCCTGTAAACTTAGTGAACTGTTACTCTTCTGTTTCATCAACGAGTACAGTATCCCATGATTCCCCTCCAGGGTTCTACAAAGTTGTGTCTGGTGGTTTATTATGTCATTTCTGATCCTTACCGTACATTTGTCATGGACGTCTTTATAATTTAGCCAGTCAAAAGGGCTATTAGTGCACCTCCATAGATTCCAAGACCACCGTTTACGCCGTATTAGTTTCCACGTGCTAGACTTAAGCCAAGAGGAGCGGAACTTGTTAGTTCTTCTCGGGATCGGAGGAGTGTTGTCTTCTATCGTCCGTAGGATTATATCATTCAACAGACCCCATCCAGCATTAAGATCCAGTTGGTCATCGCAATTTAAGCAAGCGGAACCTCCTAGATCTTGCCGAACCTTCTCGAAATCAGTTCTCTTCTAATTCCTAGCTAGAGTCTGATTGGGAACGGGTGGCTTAGATACAGAAACACTGAAGGAGATAGCTTCATGGTCACTCAGGCCAAGAGGGCTGAAAACATTCAAGTTGCTCACCCCAATGAACTGATTTATAAAAATATAATCTAGTCGGGATGCCCTACCGTCAGGCCCCCAGCCAGTACACTGGGAAACATGTTCTGTCAAGGAGTTTTCCAGTAACAATTCCCGAAAGTTTTTTGGAGCAGCTGATGGACTTTCCGTGGTGAAGAATTGAGGAAAGTTAAAATCTCCCATAATGAGGACCTGTGGGAAGTTCAGTTCCCAGGCTCCTCTGATGGACTGTATTAACATTTTATTTAGCGTGGCGGTGTAAAACTTCTACCAAACACGGGCCTCCGCAGCACCTAATACTACACCAGAGGACATCTTTGATGCCAATTCTATGGGACTGAATCTCATGGACTTTTAAGGAAGGGCAGGTGTAAAGAGCAACACTACCTCCTGGACCCTCCGGTCTATCCTTTCGGGTTGGGCTGAGCTGTTCTAAACGAACTTCCTCGTCTTTCATGTTTTGTGATGGCCATGTCTCACAGGAAGCCATTATAATAGAGCTTTCTTCATCCACTAATAACCTTAACTCAGGTACCTTGGAACGTAGGCCTCGTACGTTGCTGAAGGTACAGCGAATGAGAGTATGAGGGCCGGAGGCCCCAGAAACCGGTTGAGTTAAGCGTGAGTTGCCAGCCTTTGAATGGCCGGCCTTGACAAGCTTTTTGATAGGGCAGTGGAACCAAGGGCTACTGTATCCACCGTCCTCTTTGACTGAGAACTGGTGCAGGGTTCTTCGATCTGGGACAGGGTCGACAAAAACTTTTTCTCGTCGTCCGACCGTTCTACCGTTAGGTGTGCGTTGGCCAGCGGTAAGCGCTCGAATCGCCTCTCACTCTGCCTTTGTTCCCTGATTCTGCACTCGCTTATCTTTATTTCTTTAGGGAATGTATCAGATACATTATACCGGGATTCCAAGGCAGTTCTAACCATGCCCGGAGTGTCAAGGGTTACTTGGAGTAGCCTGGGAGTACGTATAGTCGAGAGGTGAGCCGGCTTTGGAAGACGATCAATTCTTCCGGCCCTCAAATCGATTTGAAGTTTGCTGACAATATATCTCCACTGATTTATGTCCTGGATAAGTTCGGCAGTATCAGTACCCTAACATTCAGGAATCCCGTGTATAATTACCTGGCAGCTTAACTCTTGAGGGCAAATCTTCTTGCTGTTGCGAATTTCTCGCACTGACCGGGGTCTATCAGGCCTAATTCTGACGTCAAACAGCTTACGTTTCATCAACTGACGACCTTTCAGAAGGGTGTGTTCGGACTGACATGTACTATCAAGGGATACTCTCAAAGGTCTAGGAGAGCCTCTGAGGAAGAACTCACTGTGCGCTAGGCGTTGAAGAAATGGACCGCAGGGAAAGGTTCCTAAGAGGTTGCAAACGCTCTTCCATTGGCCAAGGTCATGTTCTTCACGATCAATCAATAGGGAGGAGTCACTTTCCTGAACGTTGAAGAGTATGAGCGATCTAAGATTAAGATTATGGTCTGTCTTTTGCAGCTTATTCCAACCTGTAAATAAGGACTCAGATTTCTGATGGGCCTTTTGCGAGTGACTCGGAAGGCCTGAGGTGCCAGTTGTGGGGGTTTTCTTGATGACTGAACGAGGCTGGTGGTGAAATGCAGGTGGCTTCCGTACTGAGTTACAGGTGGTGGGAGCAAGATCTGCTTTTTTCGGAACGTTTTTTTGCCTGAGTAGGGGGGGCAATGTTCAGCTTATGGTTCGGCCTCTCATAAGGCTGGGTAGCCGTTACTCTCTCAGACTTACGACATCTACTTAATGTTCCGTTTTTAACTGAACTGACCTGCCTACATTTCCTCAGACCTTTCTTTCGGCGCTTATCGGGTGTGAGATTCCCATAAATCACTGAGGGGATCTGTTCCAAAGACATGCTAACAGGGAGACAGTCCGTGACAGTGATGAATTCGCTACTTCCCTTGCTGCTAAACTAAGGGATCTTTCTAAGGCCATGAAACTTCTTTAGACTGAGGCTCGTTTGTGTAGAGATAGCCGCAAGGTGGTCGGAGTTCTGTCTCACTAGCTCTAGGCCTATTTGGTACTACTTTTGGACCTACAACATGGAGAAAAATACCACTCCCCATCAAAAGGGCTATAGGGCAGTGCTTCATAATAACCAGATGGCTGGCTGGAATCACAGGAGCAGTGAGTCCATTGAGAGCAAAGCTCACAACCCATCGCCTTAGCTGAGAAGCTGACATTTCTGCGGCAAACTACGCAGACATCCTTTGAAGCTGTCATTAGACTGTATAAAGGGTAGAAAGATGTTTGGTCAAGGAGTTATGAACCCCAACACAGTAAATATAGCAAATTAATCAAAATTTGTCAAACCCCACTGTCCTTTTTGAAAAGCGCGGGAAACCTGTTTTTGCAGTGATATACGTGCACTCTTCCTGCTCGTATCTAGTAACTAGACATATGCTATCTACATTCACCCTTTGGAAGTGTATCCTATACTTTTTTCCACTATCCTATCATTCCCATCCACAAACATGTGCTGAAAAGAGTTACGAAGGTCCCTAAGTCATCCCAGAAACCCGTAGCTTCCTAAATAACTCAACCTAAAACTCGCAAACAACAACCCACAAGAGCAGTCATCTCGCCACAGCCAAGAGCAGAGAGAAGGGGGTATATCTTCATCCACTAAAGGAGAGAACTCAACAACAAGAATCAAGCACCAAGAGTTAGATGCGACAAGTTAAAAATTGTCAGTTTCCCATACTCTCACTATTGAATAACGTAGTCTAATAAGTCAGATGTATAACCTAAGGAACCATAGTTCATTAATTCTACAACACGAAGTTTGAAGTTAACCATCAATGGATGTTGGACGCTGTTAATGTCCTTGTTCGCGTTTTGAAAGTAGTCGGCGCGTGCTGTTAATTCTTAGTATCTTGCCACCTTACATCGCCATACGTCCTCAGGTGAGAGAATACAAAGCAGATGGAAAATTTAAACTATAAATGGTGCCATTATTTTATTTCTAAGAGGTTTATTAGAGGCATTGTGGGCTGACTTAGCATTAGTTATTACTAATATTTCACACTGGTGTTATTGATGAGGAATCACTTTACCTCCATTTAAAAGGCCAAATTTCGGATTATTCTTCAACCAGATATTATTTGCGTGTAACAGGATGCTTTCAAATACTTTAAAGCCCTCACATTGCAAGTTTCAACGGCAAGATTTAGGAACTTCTTTATGGTTCTCGAGTGCGTCTAAAATATGATTAGAATGATGCCAAAAGTTTCCGAAGTGCATTTAAGCTTAACGCTAGCTAAGCCTCCGTATCCTGCACCTAAGTTTGGGGAAACTATGCGTTAAAAGTGAACACGTGTTTAGGGTACCCTTAACTTACACAAAGCAACTGTGAGTGTGCTGAAGTTATCTTCGTTTACTAATCGTTAGATGTTTGCTGTGCCGGAATTTCCTAGCCAGCGCTAGGTTTCTGCAGACTTTGAAAAGTCCGGGTGTCATTCCAAGCATAATTCATGCGCTTCATGAACTTATAACTTCATAAAGTGCACGTGATTACGGAAGGTAAATAAACTTCATAATTTTCGTAAGAGTTTTTATGTACGCAAATCCATCCTACTAGAAAAATGTCGTGCATCAAAAAATATCTTAAGATACGGCTAAATAAATATAGGTGAAGTGAAATTTCATAACTTCCAAGCCAGCTGATATATATATATATATATATATATATATATATATATATATATATATATATCGGTCAAAACTCACCCCGGGAGGATGAGTGCATCAGTTCAAGTCGCGACACTTTACAGCAGCATGAAAAGAACAAGTAAGCAGAAAAAGAGTGATTTCAAAGTGGGAATAAGTGTATGTGAGGAGAAAAACCTTAAAAACAAAGTCATTGAAAATTTTCAAGCTTTAGGAGACATCAAAAGGTAAATACTTCTGTGCCATTGTGACCGATTTTCAGACATGTCACCAAGTTCTTAACCACTGACTCCTATCGTCTCGGGGACCCCAGCCAGGCAGTCTACATCTCTCCACACGGCACAGACCAACAGTCAGAGACTGCATGAACTGGTGCCAAGTCTTTGTCTGGTCACTCTGAGCCTTCTTCCAACCCGATCCCACCTTCAGCCAACATCACACGTCGAAGCAGGTAGTGGCTCAGCATTCATGTCAAATTTTTAAGCCCCGTCAGTAAGTGAAGATTCACAATCTCATTGACTGGCTGACCTTCCTTGTTTAGTCCCCTTTGCATTGCGCCGATATTGCTCAGATGGTTCTTCCACCAAACGCGAGTAATACTGCGAAGACACCTGTGATCAAAGACCTGCGATCCCTTCGTATCTACTACTTTCAGTAGCCAAGTCTCAAATCTATGTAAAAGGACACAAAGGACTGCAGCACAGTATAGTCGCCATCTAATACTTAGTCTGATATCTCGTCGATATCAGAGATGGCGTAATTTGGCAGGTGCCAAATGGGTATTTCGTATCCAAGGCAATAATTTGTCAATATCTAACTCATCTGGGCTCAAACAACTTCTCAGATAGGTTAAGTGATCAAAACATCCAATCACTGCACTCTCTACCCTGAAACTAGGCGTCGGTGCAGACCAGTCCTGAAACATCAGCTTGCATTTGACAGATGCAATGCACCTGCCAACCATACTCAGATTTTTGCTCAAGGTGTTCAGAAGACTGCAATTTGTCAGCGTCTTCACCTAAGAGGACAATATCATCTGCTTACTCCAAGTCAGTCAGGTATCGTACTCTGTAAAGCTGAAGGTTTTCAGGGTCATGCCAATTATCATGAGTATAATGAAGTTAAAAAAGAACGTTGAAAGTGGGCACCTTCGGCGGATACCATTATACTTTGTTCCTTCTGATGATAACTCTCCGTAATCCCTTTTGCCACTGAGTGAGTTAGAGTGAAGGGCCATTGGTTAACACTGCGTACCTGCCGAGCACCAGTCAAAACCAAACACTACTGTAACACTTCGGTCGACAGACTTAAATGCCTCCTCCAGGTCGAGAAGAATGACCGGTGTTGGGGTGAGTGAGTCTACCTGTATGTTTCCTAAACCTGTGAAAGAATTGAGATCTTATCGATACAACCTCTTTCACGTCACTCTGAGCCTTCTTCCAACCCGATCCCACCTTCAGCCAACATCACACGTCGAAGCAGGTAGTGGCTCAGCATTCATGTCAAATTTTTAAGCCCCGTCAGTAAGTGAAGATTCACAATCTCATTGACTGGCTGACCTTCCTTGTTTAGTCCCCTTTGCATTGCGCCGATATTGCTCAGATGGTTCTTCCACCAAACGCGAGTAATACTGCGAAGACACTCGTGATCAGAACCCTGTAACCACCTCATGTCTTTCAACGACCATGTCTCACAGCCGTATAGCAGGACAGAACAGACTGTAGTGTGGTGTAGTTGCTCTTTGATAGATAGCCCTATATCTCGCTGGTCGGAGTCGTAGATAAGGCAAGTTGGCAAATGCCAAACAGACCTAATTTATCCGGGCTGTGATTTTGTCAGCAGCTAGCCCTTTAGGCGACTCCCTCAGTAAGTGAAGTGGTCGAGACATTACACCAAAACATCATATCGTTAAGCTGAGAGTATTTGCAGCAGACTAGTCCTGGAGCATCATATTGCATTTGGCAGATGCTAGTGAAACGCATACCAAACACCTAGATTTCTGCTGAACGCGTTCAAAAGACCACATTCATCTGTGTCTTCACCCAGTAGGAGAACATCGTCTGCATATTCCAGGTCAACTAGCTGAACTCCAAGGAGTAGGTCAGACGTACCTGAGGTTACGTCCATTAGTGCGTCTATGACGAAATCAAACAGGAACGGTGATAGTGGACATCCCTTACGGACACCACTAGTTGTCATCAGTTCGTATAGCAACTCTCCATAAGCCTTCATAGGGCTGCCCGAATTCATGTTAAGAGCTGTGATAAGCATCATGTACTTGCTCGGCACTCCGTTCACAGTCAGACTGCCACAACACCTCACAGTCAATTGGGTCAAATGCCACATTTAGGTAAACAAATATGGCAAGTGTCGACCATTGTCCGGTAAATATGCCTGTGTTCGATACACCCTTGTCCAGGTCTGAAACCTGATGTTCTCGAGCTCCATTTAGGTGTCGGATAACTATGGACGCTAGAATCTTGGACTCAATATTAGTCAAACTAATCCGTTTATGATCACAAGACCTCTTTTTCCTTATAGGCTCGGACGATCAGAGAATTAGACCAGTCTGACGGCACTACCGCTGATTCTTATGCATTACTTAGTATCTCGGTCACTTTAATTAGCTATTCTTTACCTCCATTCTTGAAAAGTTCAGGTGCCAAACTGTCAGGTACTGCTGCTTTCCATCGTTCCAAGTTTGGAGCAGCCTTCCCAGCTTCAAGGAGAGTTGGAGGACCGGCATCTACGTGCTATTCAGGTTCACAATGGATGTTGGGTAACTGAAGCGTTTCTAACGGCTAGTTGAACTGTGCTTTCCACCGTTCTAGCCACCTTTCCTTGGAGGCTGTCAGTGTCCCATCCTTTTCGGTGTTGGTTTCACTCACCGTCATCTTCTTACTAGTATCCTTGATAAGCCTAAATAGTTGCCAAGTCTTACCTAACTCAGATGTCTTCTCCGTGTTTCTCTTGCCACCCACCACTACTCGTTGTCATTTGCGGAGACTCTTGGTCAATTCAGATTTAAGTTGCTTCTGCTGTTTATTGTAGTCGGAGCCAGCTGGAATCATTCTTCTGGCATCAATCAGTCTGCATGACACTATAAATCCAGTGACGTTTCCTAACCTTCGGGTGTAGGTTACCAACTGTATTTACCGCTGTTTCTACAGAAAACCTAGTATCACGCTAGGTTTCCTCAGGATGAGAATTGCTATCACGTTTAGATAAATGCCTATTTAACTCCTTTCTAAATGCGTACTTGGCGTCCTCATCTACCAATCGAACACAGATGGGTCTCATTGTCTCCTGTTTCCTGCAGCCAGTAAGGCACAGACGTACATGAGTTCATACTAGAGCGTGATCGCAGTACTTTAGAAATAGTGGCAATCTTCCAACGATGGCTTATGGCAATGTGATCTATTTGTGTCCATCATCGATTTGATGTCAGTGGACGCCATGTGAGATAGTGTCTTTCCTTATGCTTAAAGTTAGTGAGGGCGAGAAACAACTGGTTGTCGGACCAAAATCGCAAGAGGTAATCACCATTTTCGGTTCGTTGGCACTGGGTTGCGTAAATTTATATTTATTATTATTATTATTATTATTATTATTATTATTATTATTATTATAACACAAACATGGTAAAGTAAGGGCACCAAAAAGTGCACCACACAAAATAATATAACAACATTATGAAGGTATAAAACGAAGGAAAGTGGATGAAAGAAAAATACAATAAGAATAGAATTATTAGAAGGACAGTCCAGTAAGATACATTTCAAACAAAACACCAGTTGCTTTTCAGCAGCAGAAGACAGAAAGGAGCAACAGCATAACCGCCAATGGTTTCGATTCTTGGGCTTATCTGATAACGTCTCAAGCCACTGAGTTGTGTGACCTCTTAGATCCCACCCGAGGAGTCGTGATGTACTAACAGATACTAACGCGATACAACTATCCTTCATCCTACGTCACCATGTCATGCACTGACCACCCCTCCACTTCTTCCATCTAGGCCCAGGGCTGGCAAACAATGAACGGTGTAAAAGCCCTACAAATCGTTGCTGTACCTAAGCCAGTGAGTCCATGAGAACCAGCCATTGGGTCTCCGGATGCTCGTAAGGTGAATTTTAAGGACTCATTACTATGGTCAGATGAGGCCAATCTAATAACTACACTCGGATCTGATGTACGCATCTCAGAGACAGTCTACATCCCTGTCTCAAGCAAGACAATATATCGCATTTTAAACTACTTCGTGACGGTTACCGGCTATTATCAAAAGAAAACTAAGAGGCGATCACCATTATCGGTTTGTAGGCATGGAATTCAGTGATCGTTCAATTACATCTAGTTGTTTGCTTTAGGTATCCCTTCCAAATTTCTATGAGTATTGGTCCCATCTCTTTTCCGATTTCTCAGTCGTTTGTCTTGTTGCTTTGTATATTGAGCAAGGCATCTATGGCTGGGGAACTATAGTTATTGTTCCACTTGAACCATGCTTCTCAGATATTTTTAAAATAACTTGGTTTTACTCCCATCAGTGTTATTATTGTGGTGTGGTTCATTAGCTTAGCCGCTCGACTTACAACCCTGCCGCACCTACTTCGTCATAGGTTAACGGATAGTATTAAAAAGTTTCAAGAAATTCTTGTACATACAGTAAATTCAGTTGATGAGGTTATAAACCTGCCCGACTGGGGTCCTCGAGACGGAAAGAATCAGAGGGCTCTTAGTGACACGGCTAGAAATCGGACACATTGGCGCAGATTTATTCACTCCTTGGCATCTAAAACTAGTCGCTATCTTCAGTTTGTTTTTTGTCTCATACAACTTTGTGTACTTTGATATCACTTTTTCAATCCACCTGTTCTTTGTATACTACTGTGAAGTATGGCAACTTAAGCTGATGCATCTGTATCGGGGGTTCTGCGTTGATTTCGCTTTTTTGTTTGGACATGCATTGCTCCTGGCCTTTCTACAGCAAAGTCCCAAACTTGCTCCAGAATTTTAAATTGGTATGTTTCCTAAAATTGTGAAAGAAGTGGGATCTTACCGATACAGCCTCTTTCACGGTTGAAGTATGCCTGATTTTCTCAAGTTTATTCCCCTTGAACTCCCAAGGTGTTCGTAATTATTACTATGAATAATTGTTTCGTATATGGAATTCTCCAAGACGCTGGCTGGCTACATAGGTCTAATGCTTCACCAGCTTAATTGATTACACCTTGGGAGCTCAATGAGAATAAACTTGAGAAAACTAGGCATACTTCAGACGTGAAAGAGGTTGTATCGATAAGATCTCAATTCTTTCACAGGTTTAGGAAACATACAGGTAGACTCACTCACCCCAACACCGGTCATTCTTCTCGACCTGGAGGAGGCATTTAAGTCTGTCGACCGAAGTGTTACAGTAGTGTTTGGTTTTGACTGGTGCTCGGCAGGTACGCAGTGTTAACCAATGGCCCTTCACTCTAACTCACTCAGTGGCAAAAGGGATTACGGAGAGTTATCATCAGAAGGAACAAAGTATAATGGTATCCGCCGAAGGTGCCCACTTTCAACGTTCTTTTTTAACTTCATTATACTCATGATAATTGGCATGACCCTGAAAACCTTCAGCTTTACAGAGTACGATACCTGACTGACTTGGAGTAAGCAGATGATATTGTCCTCTTAGGTGAAGACGCTGACAAATTGCAGTCTTCTGAACACCTTGAGCAAAAATCTGAGTATGGTTGGCAGGTGCATTGCATCTGTCAAATGCAAGCTGATGTTTCAGGACTGGTCTGCACCGACGCCTAGTTTCAGGGTAGAGAGTGCAGTGATTGGATGTTTTGATCACTTAACCTATCTGAGAAGTTGTTTGAGCCCAGATGAGTTAGATATTGACAAATTATTGCCTTGGATACGAAATACCCATTTGGCACCTGCCAAATTACGCCATCTCTGATATCGACGAGATATCAGACTAAGTATTAGATGGCGACTATACTGTGCTGCAGTCCTTTGTGTCCTTTTACATAGATTTGAGACTTGGCTACTGAAAGTAGTAGATACGAAGGGATCGCAGGTCTTTGATCACAGGTGTCTTCGCAGTATTACTCGCGTTTGGTGGAAGAACCATCTGAGCAATATCGGCGCAATGCAAAGGGGACTAAACAAGGAAGGTCAGCCAGTCAATGAGATTGTGAATCTTCACTTACTGACGGGGCTTAAAAATTTGACATGAATGCTGAGCCACTACCTGCTTCGACGTGTGATGTTGGCTGAAGGTGGGATCGGGTTGGAAGAAGGCTCAGAGTGACCAGACAAAGACTTGGCACCAGTTCATGCAGTCTCTGACTGTTGGTCTGTGCCGTGTGGAGAGATGTAGACTGCCTGGCTGGGGTCCCCGAGACGATAGGAGTCAGTGGTTAAGAACTTGGTGACATGTCTGAAAATCGGTCACAATGGCACAGAAGTATTTACCTTTTGATGTCTCCTAAAGCTTGAAAATTTTCAATGACTTTGTTTTTAAGGTTTTTCTCCTCACATACACTTATTCCCACTTTGAAATCACTCTTTTTCTGCTTACTTGTTCTTTTCATGCTGCTGTAAAGTGTCGCGACTTGAACTGATGCACTGTTGTTCGTGGTTCTGGGTTTGTTCTGTATTTCCTTCCTCCCAGGTGCAGATTTGTGGTTCAAGACTGATTTGCTTTTGTTTCACGTCTCGCAGTTTAAAGTGCTGTTGATTTTTTTGTGCGTATCGCTTGTTTGGGGGGTTTTGTTTTGTTTAGATCGTTATGATCCGTGGCATATGTAACGATACAATACTTCGATGCGATACGATTAACGATAGAACAATAACTTCTCAACTCGGTATTCAGCTGACACTAGAAGACGATGGGATTGAAAGTATATTACTTCAACTGAATAATAATAGCTGGAAACTCAGTCGTTTATATATCCTTAGATGGCCTTGGCCAGGGAAAACAAAAGTGCAAAATGGACCAATGGGCATGTGGTATCCTAAACTCCGGTAAAAATAGGTAACAGTATGGCACAACAAAGGTGTGAAAATAAAGTTTAAATTTTTATAGTGACAAGATAAACAAATTATAAGGTAGTTTTCTTAGGGATTAAGAACCTCTAACATCGGTCACCGACGAAATGTCCATGGTTGAAAAAGGTCTGTTCTGCTACAGTGCAGCGCTTATGGTGCCGTCGCAATATCCAATTTTTTATTCATGATTCAGTATTTGCCGCTGCAGTTACCTCTGTTTCATTTCGACCATGAAATGTGTGCATTAAGGTCAGAAAAAAGGAAAATCGTCAGGTTTCCAACCACCGTCCTCTTCATGGTTTGAACCGAGTGTTGTGGTAACACCACTTCAGTAGTGTGGGGGTTATACACTGAAGATGTGAGCCAATTCTTGTAGCTGTGAGCCTTCATCGTTTGAGGTGGATGAGATATGTGTTGCACATGTCTAGTCACCGTTTACCTCATCGTGCATTGTTGGCTGAACTTAGTTCAGGTTGGTAAAAAGTTAGACGACTTGACTAAAACATGGCATGAGCGCCTGAAGTCTTCGACTACTGCCTTGAGCGGTGTTAAGATATGTGGACTTCTCGATTTGAACCCGCATAAAAAGCGAAGTCCGTGGTTCGAAAATAGGTGATGGGGCTGAACTTTGATCACAGCGGAGCAGATTTGCCAACATAATAGCCTTATCTTAATCATCCTGCTTATTTCCAGCTGACACTTTTTTTTCCATGACCTTTTAATAATTGTGACTACTTTCTCCCTGGTTTCTCCATACCTTATCTTGGTGCCTTCTCAGTCGATGTCCTGACATAGTGTGGCAACTCGGACGTTAATTCACTATAACCAGATCTCATACTGATATTGACCGAGTGACTGATTATTGCTTACAACTTTTTTGTCACTTGGTAACATCAAGGCTCGTGATGTGATTTAGATTTTAGCTGTAAAATATATGTGAATTGAACAAGTTTAACTAAATTTATCCGTGTGAATTTTTAACAGTTTCTCACTGTTACTAACTTTGGCTCTGGATTACCTGGGTTTACTAAAACTGCGCTACTGACAAAATGCTTAATTTATCTGAGGAAATAACAGAACCTTCCTCTATTATTATCACAGATGAAGATGAAAAAAGAGCTGAAGCTGTTTTTATGACCTATGATGAATATTGCAAACCGGTTTACGAAACTCCAAAGTAAGTTCAACTTCTCATATGTCGTTTAGTAACAGTCTTATGTTTGTTTATTAACTTAGGGCGTTGATCTTGCTTCTAACTTTTCTGGTTTCCATAAGAATGCTACTGACTTTTTTAATACCGCTTAGTAACATACAGTACCGAAAACAACTTCATGACAATCAAAGAACAGTGATGGTGATAAGAGCAATAGTAATAGTAGCAATTATAACAAAAGTAACAATAATGGTGTTGATGGCGATAATAGAAGCGGTAGGAATACTGTTAATAATCGTAATGATAATAGGAGCAATCCAACAATTACCATAACCAAATTAGAACTACTTTATTTATATCTATGATCACAAAGTTCATTAATTTTCTGCATAAACGAGAAAAACCTCAGTGTGATTGATAATTAATCTTGCTTTTTAGCCTTTTTCGATAACGTCTTAAGCTGATAATTCGTATGACTCCTAGAAACTTACTCAAAGGACCACGATTCTCTCTTTGGTTCTAACCCAACACAACTATCCTTCGTTCTACTATGGCATACTCTAATTTAATCCTCTCTGTGAGTTTTAAAGATAGTTTCAGTAGTCTTTAGCATTAAGGCGATTTGATTGCACGTCCAAAGTATATGTCGTAAGTTCACTAAATTTGGATGACAAGGCTATCCTCACAAAGGGGAAAAGACGAAAGAGAGTATGCAGTGCTTATTCTCAAGTCAGTAGATCCAGACAGTTCATCTAGGGAAGTTGTAAAGCATTGAGTGGGCACACCCCACACAATCTTAAAGTGATAAGTCATGAGGAACCTTCTTTGGTCACTGATATCCTTAAGTTTTCAGCTGTTGACATTGCTTAGTTGTTTTTAAGGTAAGGCTTGATATCAAAAGTTCACAGCATGACTTTCTAAGGAAATCATCTGTTTCAAGTTTGCGTTATGCTTAAAAGTTTTCGCTGATACAAAAACAACCAACCAAAATCTGTTGTCATTCTGTAATATTTGGAGTAAACATTTTTGTAGAAAAATTGTTTATTACTAGCAAGTTCGGTAGATACGCATCCCATCCGACTTCTCAAAATTCTGCTATCCTCACTAAGATAACCTACTTTCTGATTTCACTTATGTGCAAGTATTTGGTAACTGGAGATGTGGCTCATTAGCCTAGGGATATGACTTTTAACCGATAGGCCACGGGTTTGAGTCCCGCAACCAGATAGTGTCACTAGCCCTCTCACAATGTGTGGCTCACTGCCTACTGCATGAATGTGCACAAGAGTGCTGAATGCATTTTGATTCCATTCGAACCCAACCCCCTACTAAGAACCATCAAATTATTGCTCCAGACATAACATGAAGTGAGTTATGCTTAGATTCATGAAACTTTGACAGTTGATAGAAACGTATTTTCTAGTGGTTAATACTCCTATAATATAGACATTGATAATCTTAATGTGTATTACAATTTCACTTTCGTCACACCACTTATTTCACTTGATTTTTTTAAAAACGGATTGCCTAATTTTTAGTGTTTCTTTAAACACCATTTATCCTGTCTGAGGTAAAGAAACTACAGATAGTGTCTTACAATGTGATGCCCCTGCCTCATATTTCCTCTCTACATCCTTAAAGGAGAAGACATGACCAGGAGACCAGAAAGTATTCAACAGTGAAGAGACATATGGAGCAGATACAGTGAAAATAGCATCTCAGACTAACGAAAATATTCCAAGGATCATTACCTAGAGGAAAACTGTGAAAGCACAAGCAAAGCGAAGCACTGAAACTTCTATTTCCTTATCTAAAACAAAACTTATAACTTTTTTTGGCTTAGTTCAAGGAAATTACTTGAGTACAAACACAAACCAGTCAGTATATGAATACAGCTTAAGCATTGTGATTGAGTTTACCTCAATCATAGTTCTTTTTTTGTATATGTATCACATAGTGGAACAGTATTATTTACTAATGACGTTTAAAGCAGGATTTATTCCTCATAATCACATCACACAAAACTTGGAAGCTAAACTTTGACTAGGAAAGCTTGACAAATGAGAATATGTCGGTGAACAGAAAGCACCATATCACTGTTATCCACTACTAACCAATCAGATTAATTTTTCATCTTGATATACATTACTTTTGATCGTTTGCCAGTTGTTTTGCTGAAAACATTCCCTTTATCTAAGTCAACGAAGCAGAATGCTGTAGTGTTAACTTTTGAAATTTTATTTTTTTATACTAGCTCTTTCTTGTGCATAGCACCAGTCATATCTCAGTGGTTAAGGTATTTAACTTATAAATGGAGGAGACTATCTGTAACTCAAGATGTGACGTTCTGATAAAAATGTCTTCAGAGCTGGTTTAATTGATGCAGATCTTTCGAGCACATTCTAGTCATGATCTTCAGTGCTATTTGAAAGCTTTTGGGGATGGTGACTTCCTCATGAATCTGTTCTATTCATCCAGCCAGTCATTTGTTATACCTTGTCTTCGTCGGGTTAGTGAGCTTTTCTAGTTTTGTTTCCTGCTAGTAACCAGCTATGTTATAATTGCTTGATTTATTTCGTGGAGCAGCTGCTGTAATTTGCTTCCTTATGATTCATTGATCTTGTTGATTTAATTTGATAAACGTTCTCTGATTCTTTATGATGTGATTGGCATAAAAATGATGGGTTGATTGCTATTTGCGTTCCAGTTTAGAAGTAGTTCATTGGTTAATCCAGAAACTTGTCAGTTGATCTGAATCCCACTGTTTCTGGTCAGGTGTTCTCATTGAGCTGCTCGAGGTGTACTGAACTTGAAGAGTTTGACTTGTATTTGTAATGTTGGTTTTTTCTTCGATATCGCTTCTTACCCTACCTTTTTCCTCATAGAGTTTAATCTTCATTCACTATCGGTTGTCTGCTCATCGGAATACCCTACCTCTAAGGATTTCCTTACGTACTCAAAGATTTTGAAGTTTTTCCAATTGAACTCTTAAACATTGTTGTCTCTATGTGAGGAGATCAAATTCACACAGAAGAGCAATAAAATGGAGACATCAGCTGTGATTAAATAAACTACTGAAATTAAAATTCATACTTGGGTCAAACTCCTAAAGATCAGCATTGCTCGAGTCATTCATTACGAAGAAAGGCGGCGTAAATTGATGTTCTTAAACCTAATCACATTTATTGCATGCTTGATTACTATTCTCCTACCTACATCTTCCTGACTCTTTCTCGATTTTATGTAATTTGCTCCAGTGAACTGTAGTGTTGCCTTACACTGTCCCAATCAATCAGTATTAAAACCTTTTTTGTCTCTTTTTTTATAAAGGAAACCACAGCCGAAATGTACTGGAGTTCGAAATGTTTTGATTACATCTGCATTGCCCTACGTAAACAATGTGCCTCATTTGGGAAATATGATTGGGTCAACGTTGAGTGCCAGTGTATTCGCATTGTACTGTGATTTGGCAGGGTACAATGTTCTGTCTATTTGCGGTACAGATGAGTATGGAACGGCTACTGAAGCAAAAGCTGTCTCAGAAAATATGACTCCACGTGAAATCTGTGATAAGTATCATAAGCTGCATTGTGATATTTATAAATGGTTTCAAATTGAATTTGATTATTTTGGACGAACAACTACAGAAAAGCATACTGAGTAAGTAGCTTTGAAATTTGTATTACGTTTTTTGTTGATTGATGTGAAGTCATTACTTTTGTATAGCTGTCTAGCTGTCATGACACCAAAAGATATCAATCATTAGTCTTGGAGCATTTCACTTACACTATTTAATGGATGTTGTTTCAGCTGCGTTGCTAGATATGCTGGGTATTATTTTCTAGTAAGTATTTTCCATAGTCTTGCAATTTCAACATGCTTCATGCATAAAGTTCAATGCATTTGTAGGTTCTCATAACCTTGGTCACTAGGTTATTTCTTTTACTATGTTGAATGAGTATATAGGACACTGTTGCCAACCATCACACTGATAAATATAGTTTGACGTATCTTATTACTTTCAAGTTGAGGATCGGCGTATATCTTCAAGTTTCCACTTTTCATTCCTAACTTTAAATAGAAGGTTCATATAGTATAATTGCTTGTTTTCGAGTTTCTGAGCAGGCTTTAAATGTTCATCTTTAAAGTATAGCCTGTAATAGATATTAAATCATAATGGATATTATTGGAAAACGAATAGTACTTTGCTGGTTAAAAAGAGCATCAGAGGTATCCTTTTCAAAATTACTTTCAACTGTACTGCATATAATGACATTAAGATCTCTGTTTCATGTACTACTATTTGTCTACTTATTTCTCGAGATAGTCATTGAGAAATTTCGCTTGTAATGCTTGTAGTGCCTGGTCCTATGTTGATATTGATGATGATAATGAACAATGGCTAGTAACACCCAAACAGTTTCACAAAAAACAAGTTAGCCAAACGACGAAGAAACGTCAATACAAAAACCAGTTAAAGAGATTAAGACACTCAATCAGCATTCAAGTCTTCAGGTTTATTGAAGCAATCAGGGGTGATGTAGTGAGACCAAATTGATCTCCCCAAGTATGTGTAACTTTTCAAGTATCCAAGCTTCGGGTACTTGGTGAAATCTAGCTATCATTGGCTTAAATTTGACCGTACTTCAGCTCACTTCGTTGGCGTTAATTTCGACGAAGGCCTTGTTGATGTCAAATATTCAAAGCTTAAATATTTAGGAGGTTATGTCTATTGGGAGAGGTCAGTTTGGTTGAGGTGTATCACTGTCGATTGTTTGGACTAATCTTAACAATTTCAACGATTTTCAGGGTGAGTATAATTCGTCTTGCATGCCTTTAAGGGTGAAGTGATTAACCATATCAGCTCAGGACCCATTTGTTAAGCTAGAAAAATAAAGCAGAATTGGAGAGAAAGGCTGTTACTAAGAAGTTGGCAATAGAGTTGAAAGAACTTTAGCCTAAGGCAGAGCCTTTTGGCGTTTAACGAGTAAACTGTAATTAAAGTGAAACGTAGAGAAGACAAACCTAAGTATCGTGTTACGATTAGTCATTAAGCAGATGAAGAAATAGCTCAAAGTATTAATCCGACTTTTTTTTAGCACCAGTTTTTGGGTTTTTATCTTGTAGTTTGGCTAAAGAATAACAACATGAAATGGAGAAAGCCTAGAGATTATAATATTTGAATAAAACTTTTGGACCTGGTTTCAGAAGTTGTTAAGTAATAACTCTATCTTCTATGCTAGTAGAAATCATATCCATTGAGGGTATGTATGGCTGTTAGAGAAACTGAATGGATGCGTTCTGTTTGCAAATCTTCGATGGACGATTATCACCTGAAAGGCAATATCAACTGCATTTTAGGTTGCCAAATGATAGGTCTGTTGTTGAACAACGACTCCATCACCATCGATCGAGTCACCTTTAAAATGTTTGGTCGTTATTCTTGTAGCGAAATGACCACATTAGATCTAAGGTAAATTGTTTATTCACCAAGAGAAGAGTTTTCTCACGATAAACTTCGTTTATGACTCTCTGCTCTACGCACTGTATGTTATAGTGTAATTATCTGTTACAACAAACATGACGATGCACTTATTATGGTATATATTACAAGATGGTGATACTCAGCTAACTTGAGGAAAGTGGTTAGCGAAAATGAGGATATGAGGAAAACCTTAGGTAGGATTTCACCAGGTATCTTGAGATATGATATACGAAGATTATGTCTGTTAGAAGTGATAAGAGTAAAGTAGATAGTTCCTGTCCAACTAATCAAACTCTGCAATTGTGAAGAAATGGATTTTACTATTGCTGCCTGTTGTTGATTGTTGACTGCAGAGTGGAGATCAGGTGTTAGAAAAGCCATGTCAGGTTAAGTGTCAATGTTCACTTGGCATGCAGCAGCCCTTTAACCTACGAACTTATCAGTGCATTAGAACGCTGCTCTATATGCCCACTGACCCTTATTATACTAACAATTCACCTTTCTTATGGATTATCTTTATGACCTTACTACCCTGATTATCCACGTTTATATCTTTCATTGACCTTTATATTAACATTTTTTCGTCATTTGGCTAACTTATTCTTTTGTGGAACTGTTTGGATTTTACTAGCCGTTATTGATCCTTACCGGTAATTAGTCCGGGTATTTTCCTCATAGACGCGCCAAAGTTGACGTGGCACTATGAACAGACCTCAATCTTCTTGTGCTGGATTTCACAGTTTATGGAAATATGTCTCACCGGTTTGGGAAGTCAACTTCCTGGGTTCGCTCGATGTAATTCAGTCTGAAAAACTGGGTAGTATCATAAACCTTCACACAAATGTGCTTAATAGCCTCGTGCATGGACGTCTACCGGATTGGGTTACATTAATTGAATTGATTACACATTACTTGATAGGGTGGGTGTATAGTTGTCTCTATCCTAAATTCAACACTTTGAATACCTAGCTAGATTTTGAGATTTTACTAGTTGAATAGTTAGTTGTAAACAGTTAGTTTAGCCATAAGCATTATGGTTTCGACAGTACTATCAACTTTTTTTCATAGGTTAAAATGATTGCCTGATAGAATACCATCTTCAGCCTCATGAAATTGCACAGTCGATTACACACGTTGAAACTATCAGCCAAAATGTGTTGGGTGCATATTGTGTTAGTGAAGCGCATGTATGTATTCACTCTTTATTATTTTTGAATTTTCAAACACTCTTTTCATCTATGTTCATTTTAAAAAAATCTCATTTCGGGTGACTTTAAAGACCACCCTAACAACTGCAAAATAGCCAATCAAGTTGCGGTATTTTGGCTGGGAAGGCAGTTTCTCATAAAATAGAGAAACGTGATTGGTTGTCTCATCGGTTGCTAAAATGGCCTTTAAAGTCACTCCTCATTTCTTTTTTTATATTTTAATTTGTTCACTCATTTTATCCACTCCTTTTTTCTATGTTGTTTTACCAACTTGAACCGCTGCACTTCTGTACTATACCGTGTTAGGGATACCTATATCCTTTATATTCCATACTTACAGTTTGGTTTATTCACGCTCTTTTCCCGTACATAGGTCATATTCCGTATGACTCGCTATTGTTCTGATTGGCTCCTGCCTCTTTAAATGTACTAATTATCCCCCGTCTTTCAAGGTTACTGTAAACTCTATAAATAGGGTCCGTTTTCACTCATAAACGTTTTCAATCCGAGATACTATAAACTCATCTCGTTTCCAGTCTTATGATTTCTCTTTGCGAATCACTTGGGTTAAATCGTCTCAACCCTCAACTGTAAATCGTTAAGTATTTCCGTTCGTTCTCACAACGAAGCGTTTGTTCGTTTAATTGTTTATTGAAGAAAATAACTGCAAGCTATATTGTATTTTTCAGTTATTGCATCCATAATTATGAGTTTTATTGTCCTAATTCACTTCTGAAAAACAATATGATTATCACTGATTGGTGAGCATATGAAACATCGATGTCTTTATGGAAATCATGTAGTGATTTGTTGAGATCACATTGGCCATGACTGGTAAAGCTATCAATCGATATCGCTTGTGTTTAACAACTACATATAACATTTAATCAAATACATTTTTTAACACTTTCTTTTGACTGTAACAAAATGATGTGTAGAATTTTAACTTCGGCATGGAATTAATGTAACTGAGGCTACTATATTTTATTTTGCAGAATCGTTCAGGGATTATTCAAACGTCTGTGGGATAGAGGTTTCATCAGTGAAGATTCTGTTGAACAGTTGTACTGCGAAAACTGCTCAAAGTAAGATTTTCATTTGTGTTTTCAGTCTTTTACATTTTCAAGTACACATGCTAATTATTATAGGCATTGAATTTAATATTTTATTTTGAAATAATGGAGAATATTTGTAGCTCAGGTGGATGGTCTTGGTTGTATTGTGTTCTCTGAGCTGGGTTGTTTAATCGTGAAGCTTTCATCATCTTTCTAGACAACATCATCAGCACTAACTTCAGTATGAAGTGTGCTGTTAATATCTCTCCGTGAGTGATTTAGTAGCTTGTGTTGACGAAGTGGTTTGTGATTGGTTGTTTCATGTGGTTGTTGTGTCATTGACTGTATAGATTTTCCTGTTGGCTCTTCCTCTGCTTGACCTCTGACCTTTCCATCGTTTATCATTCTCCTCATTGGTTGATAGATTGGGTCCATGTCTATACATCTGTTGATTGCTGAATGCCAAGCTTCTAGGAATTCTCTGATATTCTTTGTGTTTCCTCTGTCCAGAACTTCTACATTGTCGGAATTGAATTCATGTCCATAATTATTCACGTGCATTGAAATGAGTGATGAAATGTCGTGGCGTTTTATAGCCAATTGGTGTTCATGTAGAGGAAGATGAAGAGGGCGACCACTTTGTCTAATGTAGTGTTGACTACAGTTATTACAGTTGATTTTGTAAATGATATTCGGTTTGTCTTCTTTGGTTGTTGCATCCTTTGGTTTGCGTAATAGTGTTTGCAGGGAATTTTTTGGTTTATGGGCCACACCAATTCCAAGTGGTCTCAGTAATCTTGTCGTGATTTCTGATATATTATTTATGTGTGGTAGGATGATGCGTTTATTGATTTCTGTCGATGACTTTGTAGTTGATGATGTATGGAATTGGCATCTGATAAAGTTTCGCAGAAAGCCGTTCTTCTTGAAGTAATTTTCTTCGTTTCTCGGTGAAGTTGTATCAATCAATGAGAAAAATGATAAACGACGGAAAGGTCAGAGGTCAATCGAAGGAACAGGTAACGGGAAAGTCTATACAGTTAGTGACACAACAACCACATGAAACAACCAATCACAAACCACTTCGTCAACACAAGCTACTAAATCACTCACGGAGAGATATTAACAGCACACTTCATACTGAAGTTAGTGCTGATGATGTTGTCTCGAAAGATGATGAAAGCTTCACGATTAAACAATCCAGCTCAGAGAATATTTTATTAAATGTTCAAAGTAGTGTGCGTATCTGTGATCTGAACCGTAATTCTTAAGTAGCAACTATCTACGTCAAGTGTGTAAACTGACTGATTCTGCATACTTTCATCACTAGGTTTGTTGTCATATTATTTTTGGGACTCAGATTAGTAAACGAGCCTGTGTGGGAATGATGGGTAGTGGCCAGCATTTTAATCCGGAATGCATGCTTCTTCTTTACAGGGACTCGTCAGCTGAATCACTGCTATCCACTATCCATCATTAATGTAAATATTGAAAATACAGGCAGTATTGAGGCAGGCGTACATAATCCCATATGCCAATAGGGACCGATCAATTCTGTTCATTCAACGACTGGATAATACAAGCAACATCATATAAGCTTGTGTATTGTTTGTTTTTTATTTGCGCATCGACTACTGCATACTTCCCATCCAGTTGTTTACCGGAAAATAAGTTTCTTGTCACAAACTTGAAAATTAAAGTAATCCTGTTCACTTGAAATTACGATTAGCTTTCAGTTTATAACATGAATTGTACTGCTTTTTTGCAAGATTCTGCTTTGTTCTATCTGTTTACCTATCGTGGATTGAGTTGATATGACTATATTTATATCTAAACTTATAGTAGAAGTTTTATGAAGCAAACTGATGTGACTGACATAACAATTCAAACCACGAGAATGCTACCAACGCAATGAGACACTCGGCCTGCATACGAATGGTGACTGTTCTCCTTCAAAACCTCAAACTTTACTGAGTCGCGAAAATCAAAAGATAAAAACCGGCTCGTGACTGTAAGGAAGACGTCTTTATTTGACAAAACACATCTTTTATATACATATTTTCCTCAGAGTATAATACCTCTAAGTCAGAAGTTGGATACTTATTATGATTCCTCAGCTCTAGGACAAAATTGTCTGAGTTAACATGAAACGATGTTGAACTCCAAAACTCCTACCTTAGTGACATGATTTATAATGCTGATTTCGATTTAGGCCACTTCCCTATCACAAATGATTTTTAAACCTAAATATCCTTCGGTAGGTATTTTATTACCAATATAAATTTAAGATATGTGTTCACAAGAAACATGGCTTTTATTGACCGAATTTAAGGCTCTCGTTATGAATATTCCATTTATCAAAGCTTGGAAGTATGATTTAAAAGTTCTAGGACTATTCAAATGTCAGTCACAGTATCTAATTCAACCTAAGGTAATAGACAGCATCATAATCTTACATGCACTGAGTGTGCAAAAACGTTGATAGGATTGGCGAGCTAAAAGTATGTAGATTTGTGCGTATTTTTTTGCATGATACACTGATAACGAATAAAGAACCACTTGAAACTAAACTTCATCATCCTAGTTGAAAATGCTCTTAAGTAATTCATCCTTTCAAACTTCACTTGAGTGTGAAATGCAAATGACTTAAATCACTGCTGGTTCAGTACATACTTTAATTTTTATTGGTTAATATTTCTATTTGACTTTTTAGTTTGAATAACAGAATTGAGTAGTCTTGATATGCTAATAATTATTTTATTATTATTGTTTTTATCTTAAAGGTTTCTTGCTGATCGTTTTGTGGAAGGTGTATGCCCTTTGTGTAAATATGATGATGCTCGTGGTGATCAATGTGATAAATGTGGACGTCTTATGAATGCTGTTGAACTCATCGAACCACGTTGTAAAATATGCCGTCATAGGCCTATTGTTCGCTGTTCACGTCATTTGTTTCTTGACCTACCTAAGGTAAGGTAATATTGCTTGTCACTTGGAAATATTTATATTCATAGGGTATCCATTCACAAGAGTAATAACTATGGTTTATGTAGAGTGTCGTGTCACTTAGCTAACTTGCTACATTGCAAACTTTGATCAACATACCATATGTGATGGCTACATCAGTTACCGTCTGGCAGTCAATTTGTGTACGAAATGATAGCTGTTTATGCTCTCGAAACTCAGGGAACCACGCTGCAGTCCATTCTATCCTCTTGTACGACTGTGAAATGTGGCCGTTAATAGTAGAAGATATGAAACGATTACAGGGTTTTATTCGACTGAGATAGCTTGGACGTATGCTATGGATGCCAAGTCACTGCCCACCTAAACGTGTCATGCTAGAAGTTAGATTAAGTCGCAAAAAGGTTCACGGTGGTCACAACAAGACGTCAAATCAGTCGATAAAGTCTTTAACTATTGGTCTGAGCCATGTAGGGAGGTGTAAACTGCCTGGTTGTGGTCCCCGAAACGAAAGAAATCAGTGGTTGAGGACTATTGGTGACACGGCTAAAAACCTGTCACAGTGGTGTAGATGTATCCACTTCTTGACATCTGCTAAAGTTTGAATATCTGCACTAACCGTTATCTATTTATTCTCTCACACAACTTTGTCTATTGTGATATCACTTCTATCTACCTGTTAGTAGTTGTGTACTACTGTGAAGTATGGCAACTTGATGCACTTGTGTGTGAGACTCCACGTTGATTTTTCTGTGTTCAGAGAACAACAGCAATCTGTTATCGTTTTCCTACTTCGTTACAAATCTTCTTTAATAGATCCATAAAATACTTATTATACTCCTGTTACAACCATCGTTTATGATATATATATATATTCATATTTCAGATTGAAAGCAAACTGCATACATTTATCGAACAGCGCATAGATGATCCTTCATGTATATGGACTGCGAATGCCTGTAACATATCAAATACATGGTTAAGAGATGGTTTAAAGCCAAGATGTATTACACGTGATTTACACTGGGGTGTACCAGTTCCTCTGGAGACTTATAAAGATAAGGTAAATAATTTTTTGTGCATACTTTTATTGTACTATTGTTGGATATTGATATTGTCTTAACGGATGGATTTTAAAGTAATTTGTACCTACTGCACACCCTATCTATCCTTTTTTGAAAGAAAGAATACTGATTATGGATAGTAGTGGAACCCAAGACGCGCGTTTCTTCCTTACAGGGACTCATAGGCTAGAGATACCCACCCCACAGTGAGTGGTGGTGCCGCCGGCTTTCGAAAACAGATCCCGTGCTGCCTTCGTAGCACAGGCCGTGTTTCGTGGTGTCACCACACGAGTAACGCAGAAATCAGAGGTAGAGTTTTAGGCAGGAGGGCTAAAACAGTTGGTGCGGTTGTGAACCCTCATCGACTGAGATTGTTGGGACATGTGTTACGTATACCTAGTTGCCATCTGCCTTTTCACACAATGTTGGCTGAAGTAGGTTCAGGCTGGAAAAAGTCTCAGGGCAGCCAGACTAAAAACATGGCATCAATGCATGACGTCCTTGACTGTTGTTTTTAGCCACATAGGGTGATGCAGACTAGTTGGTTGAGGTCCACGGGACAAGAGAAACTAATGGTTGGAGACTCTAGGTGATATGGGTGAGAACCGATATCAGTGGCGCAGACGCATACATACATTATTCTCATCCTAATTGCCATACTTAATTTCATCCTCTCTTCCTCTTTTTCACTACTTTGTCTGACCGGTTGTTCTTTCCTTCTTCCTCTTTCATTTTATTGCCTTGTTACCTGATGTGCTGTTATAAGGTGTGGCAACTTGGACTGTTACGCATTAATGCCTGGTTCTATGTTGATCTTGATATGTAAAGTATATTCGCCTATTGGTTTCTGAAAGATCTTTGGTTTCATTTTTCACTTCCATTTACATGTATTTCAACACTACTGATTGCGTTTTTTGTTTTCATCTGGAAATTATTCCATTGTATATGCTAAATTGCTCAATGTTTGTTTTGCATTACTAAGGTGTTCTATGTTTGGTTTGATGCTCCTATTGGTTATTTGTCAATCACAGCGAATTATACAAAGCACTGGCAACACTGGTGGCAACCATCTAGTCAGTCAGGTGATGATGAAGTTGAAGTTGAATTGTTTCAATTTATGGCTAAGGACAATGTACCCTTCCATGCAATTATATTTCCTGCTTGCTTGTTATCAGCTGATGATGGCTACACTCTTGTGAAGCATTTGTTATCCACAGGTAAGAGCTTGCTATTGTAGTTGGTTATAAAACTGTAGGTCTTGTCAATGGTTTCTTTGTTACTTCAGATGAAATCTGGATAGTATAAGCAAGCGCAGAACTATACGTGTTTGAAGCCTTCAGCAATCATTGTAAATGTTCCCAGTATCACTCACCCGATCTGTATTAGACTGCTGTGTGCAGGTGACTTAAAACAGATGTAATCCATTCACTAGGCGATAAAAAACACTTTGTGAAGATTGATAAATAATGGTACGCTAAGAAGTGTGACTCCATAAGTTCCTTGATGGGATTTAACTATTTAAACCAATGAGCTATCCCAACTCCATTCACCTTAAAGGCAACAGTACACTGAGCGTAGCATCAGTATGAAGGCTCAACAGCCGATATGTGTATGAATCTCAGCGTGTTTGAAATAAATGATTTCTACCTTTCGCACACAACTGTAATACGTGCTAATTCAGTGAAATAATCAAAAACTGCATTATCATATACATAATCGGTCAAAAGCGTGTAGTTCCTCTCATTGTTCAAATTTATCTGGATTATGATTCTCTTTCAACATGATTATAAGCCAAACATTGTGTATGACAGATAGAGAAAGATAGATAAAATCAACGTGGAGTCTCACACACAAGTGCATCTACTCAAGTTGCCATACTTCACAGTAGTACACAACTACTAACAGGTAGATGGAAGTGATATCACAATAGACAAAGTTGTGTGAGAGAATAAACAGATAACGGTTAGTGCAGATATTCAAACTTTAGCAGATGTCAAGAAGTGGATACATCTACACCACTGTGACAGGTTTTTAGCCGTGTCACCAATAGTCCTCAACCACTGATTTCTTTCGTTTCGGGGACCACAACCAGGCAGTTTACATCTCCCTACATGGCTCAGACCAATAGTTAGAGACTTTATCGACTGATTTGACGTCTTGATGTGACCACCGTGAACCTTTTTGCGACTTAATCTAACTTCTAGCATGACACGTTTAGGTGGGCAGTGACTTGGCATGCTCAGTAACATGTCCATATCATCCCAGTCGACTAAGGTTGACAACCTCATCAATCGACTTGCGTGTTTTACCTAGCGCCCTTCACCTGACCTGAACATTGATAACAAGGTGATTCCACCAAGCGTAAGCAATGCTATGAAGACACTTAAGATGAAAACCCTGTAATCGCTTCACGTCTTCTACTTTGAACGGTCATGCGTCACTGCCAAAGTGTGGTAATTTACCATTATCTAACCAACTTTTGTGATATAGTAGGAACTCGAAGAAACAAATATTCCAACCAGTGTAGCTCGTTGTATCACTGTAAAATACGAACCCGACCACCACGTCAATGTGGCATCTAACGGCAGGGTTCATTGTGCATTGATATACACGATGCTATAATGTAAGCCTGTGTATGTTGTATTTCAGAAACGAGCTTTTACACAATAACAGAGGTGAGCTGTTAATGAAAAAATTACTACATATTTTTTGTTGTAGTTGAACTAATTCCCTCCTGTCAGTGAACTAATAAATTTCTAACTAAAAGAATTTTCAGCATTATACATTTCCATCTTCGTTTTCAAAAATCGTTATTGTAAATGGGACAAAGTTTCCTACAAAACCCCAAGAAGTAGTGCTTTATTGTATCATAGTGAGTCTTATATCAGTAATTAGGACCGCCAAGATAGTCATTTAACAGATAAGATACTAATTTATCAAAGCTGAAAATTATTAATTCACTATAGAATATCATATTCAAGTTATTTTGTTGGGCTGTGGTATACCGGTTTAGACGCCTAACCTCCTACTGATCGGTCACGGTTTCGAACTCTGCTCCACCTACAGACATCTGGACAGCTAGTTAGTGTCACTAATCCTCACAAAGTAGGTATAGCGTACTATCTACTGCACATATGTGTACTGCGTCACTGAATGCATTTTGACTTTTTCTATTTTGTTTTTAAATTTAAGGAATATTTAAAGTATATCAGTAGTTTTTTTGAGATGTTCAACGTAATTGTAAATGTATTTGTTATTAATTTTGTCTTATACTTTAGTTCCCTTTCAAAATTTTTGTGTTACAAACTCTAATGATGAGATAAATTGAACATCATTCCATTTACCTGCATACATAGAACATTTTGATTATTCTGCACAAATAAAAGCCGAAATATGTTTTGATTTTCTATAGTTTCTTTGAACATATCCTATTCATTTTAGTCATTCAGTGAGCTAATAGACAACATAGAGTTTTTTACCTGTTAAAAGTCTTTCAGAAAAAACTGTGATGATGGTTTATTGCTAACATAAAGTTTTTAAAAAAAATTTTATTAAAGCGATTTATTGCAATATATATATATTCGCATTTAATTATTTTATTTAGAATACATGAATTATGAAAATACTAAATTTTCAAAAAGTCGAGGAATTGGTGTATTTGGTGATGATGCAATGAAATCTGGAATCATATCAGATGTTTGGCGATTCTATTTACTTTATCGAAGACCTGAATCACAAGTTAGTCTTTTTTTTAAACACTTCTTCAACCTATTCCATTCAGTTATGCACTCCAACTTTTCCCATTACCATCTGACCTATATTGTTACGCCTCAGCCGTTGTCTCAGTAGACGATACAAAGAACAAAGATGTCTCAGTTTGCTTTATGTAGGTATATCTGTTTCCCTGTATTGCCTCGTGGTATTCGTAATCAAGTATATACAGAGTAATTCAATGTGGAGGATTTGGAGGATTAATTTATTGACTTCAGACTAATATTTGTCATGGAATGACACCATTTGGAGAAACGTTCGGAACCTGGGAGCACTGAACGGCTGTTTCATCCCAGTGTGGGACTCAGTAGTGTGGACTATGACCTCGCCAGGGATCGAGCCAAGGACCTTCCGGTTTTGTGACCAGTACGTTACCATTGAGCCACGGGGGGTGGGGCATCAGTGCCCATTCCTTTGGAGTCCCATACTATGACGAAACAGCTGTCCAGTGCTCCCAAGTTTTCAATATTTCTCCAACTGATATCAGTTCATAATGAATACCAACCTGAAATCAATCAACAAATCCACACAAACTTACAAATTAAACTAATCTACTGCTCATTGGTGACCAGCTTCGAGAGGTGATTTCTGAAGTTTCAATGAGAAGTCATGACCGATGGGACCAATCAAGTCGAACATGAGGACAGTTATTCAACGACGGCATTGGATGAAAGTCGGGTTACATTGTGAACTGACAGAATTGAGAAATATAGACCATTGTGCTCCCACTTCATGGTACAGTGCTAGCTAGCTACAGAACCTGGAAGTTTTGAGTTCGACCTTTGGCGGAGTTATCCAGCTGACAGGTTCCACTGGAACTTAGGAATTCATTAAATCCTGTTTTCTTCACATTCGTTGCTTGTTATGAGTTTTTTATCGGAAAGTAAATGTTTCCATTTTTTAAGTGTGTTTACTTATATGGTAATAATGATCGTTACAGATATCGTTACGCTGTATGCCTGACTTCAAAGTTCATTGTATAAGGCCTTCCTAATTGTGTTCGTAACTAGAGGAATTTATCGCTGACAACAATCATCTATAATTCAAGGCTCAACACATCGTTTTTAAGAAAAACCTCTAATCTCAGAAAAAAGAAAACGGACCAGCTGGAATATTGATCGCCGAATGAAAATAAATTTTCACTTTCATATCTCTGTGCAGTCAGTATCTCAATTTTGTTGTCAATCCTCTACCCTTATATAGGTTTACTACACTATGACAGTTACGATCTTTATTCTTACTACCATTTAGGCAAGCTTTCTAATATGTTATGATGAATTCAAGGGACATGCATTACAGTCAGCATAGCTCATTGAGTTGATTACTGAAACAATGTGTAAGTTATCGTAAATAGAGCACTCTCTGAAAAAAGTGATTGTCTACAACTGTAACTTTTGAAAAGTAATAAAAATGTTGAAACGTCAATTCTCTGTGATTTTTCCGTAAAACAATTTACAGGTAATGCATACTAGAATTCACAATTTCCTAAGCATACAAGAAGTTTTGAATAAACAAGTTTTTTTGTACATTGATACATAAACACTCTACAAGTGTAGCTCATCAACTTAAACACTTGTGTTTTAATTTGTTCCAGATTCACACTTGATTTCATCTACATCTACATGAGTGATCAGTTAGTATCAAAATGTATGTACACTCTATAGTACATAAACACTCTTGTGTACTGAATTGATTTGCATTATTCTACTTTCATTACATTCAAAAGTGATTCTAGTTGAAAAGTTGATGTATATCAGTGTGTATTAGTTGAAAATGATTCAGATAACATTCACTATATATCTTGAATAGACTGAATTTAAAAAAAGTGCTAACCATTATATGTTCAATTCTTCAACCTAAATGTGAAATATTCACCATAATACTTAGAGCCTTTTGATTTGTGTCGATTGTGCATTACTAGCAAGTTTATAGGGTCAAATAAAACTATTTTTCAATGCTTCCTATTTTTTGCTGTGATTCTTCATACAATCCTACTTTTACAATGAAAACTATCCTTTAAATTGACTAACTGCCTAGAGAAGCTAACCAATTGAATCCTTGATATATTCTTTTTGTTTTAATTAAGTGTATTTAGTGTATTTCAATTAACTTCGATTATTGCTTTTCGTCACGTGTGTATAGCATTCGACTGAAAGAACTTTTGAAAAATTCTTATATGGTTATTGCATTCTTTAAACATACACTCTGTTTTCTACTGACTAAATGCTTCTTACGTGTGTGATATCCTCCTTTTTTTCCCTCTTGTTTTATTTTAATAGGATAGTGCCTTTATTTGGGATGACTTTATGCTGGTAAATAATTCAGAGTTGTTAAATAATTTGGGCAATTTCGTTAACCGGTAAGTTAATAACACCTAACATCGAATAACTTTGATGGTCACTTAGGCAACTATTGAGATTATCATCTGTCCTTTCTAAAATATTTTGACTCAAAAGGTAGTTATTTGATAATATACAGAAACCTAATCGGTTTTTTATGTAGTTGCTAGGTTAGTCTATGAAGTTAACCTTAACACTGCGTTTTGGTAAAAACAAATTGTTTGGATGTATCATCAATATCAATATGGGAACAGGCATTACTGCGTAACGGTCCGAGTTGCCACGGCTCAGTACAGTACAGTACATCAAGTAGAAAGGTAGTGAGGTAAAGGGTTAAGATAAGAGAATGTAGTCAAAAGAAATATTAAGTACGAGACGAAAAAAAGGAAGAATGACAGGATGGTAAGATTCAATATAGCGTCGTTAAGATGAGGATAATGTGTGTATACATCTGCGCCACTGACATTGGTTCTGAGTCATATCACCTAGAGTCTCCAACCACTGGTTCCTCTTGTCCCGCGGACCCCAACCACTTAGTCTGCATCGTCCTACATGGCTTAAACCAACAGTCAGAGACTTCATACATTGGTGGCATGTTTCAGTCTGGCCACCTCGGTGGGCCTTTTCCCAGCCTGGACCTACTTCGGCCAACATTATGTGACGAGGCAATCGGTGACTAGGCATACGTAGTACGTGTCCCAACCATCTCAGTCGATGAAGGTTCATAACCTCGTCAGCTGATTTACCTCTACTCCCTAAAACTCTATACCTGAGTTCTGCATTACTCACATAGTGACACCACGGAATACGTCCTATACTATGAAGGCAACGGTGGTCAAACACCTGAAGCCTTTTTGTATCCTCCACTCTCAATGGCCATGTTTCACAACCATACAGTAGAACAGAGCGGACTGCTGTGCAGTACACGCGACCTTCAATAGACAAACGAATATCACGGCGGCGCCATAGGTGGCGCAAATTGGCAAAAGCCAATCGAGCTTTTTGTATCCGTGCCGAGATTTCATCGGCCACTGACTCACCAGGACTAATCCTGTTTCCCAGGTATGTTATGTTATATCATCAAGTGATTACATTTTACATGAAAATTGATTAGAAATAGCTGGCTAAATAAAACATTGTTTCTTCAACCAATAAAATGAAAGCTGATGAAATTGTAGGTCAATACGAATGGATTGACTATCCTGAAAAAGTTGTAAGCGTAGGCGTTGGATTGGAATTTCAAATTCTATTTCTCTTCTGATAATATTTGTGTATTAATATAAAATAGAAATAACATTTTGTCTTGATGTAGCGGGGTTTTTAGAATTGTATGAGTTACCAGGGAAAAAAACCCATAGAACTTAAAGTGATCATAAAAGAATACCAAGATATTTAGCATACTTTACGAACTTCTCTTAGCTTTAAATTATAGGGATTTATAAATGATGACAATAAATTTAAACGACATCGTTATTCTCACTGAAATTTATACGATAAACTAATAAATTCAGAGTAATTGAATGTTCACCTTTTTCTAGGCTTAAATAATTTTCATTGTCGTAATCTATTTTTGACCATCTTACTTCATTGCTTCAAATATTAGTTTTGACTGCTCCAATGAATAGCTTAAGCAATATATCTACATTTTTTTTTTTTACCTATGGTTCAACTAATAACTAAAGAATTTATGGATTATTATTACTTCTTATTTTGAATAAACACTATGCTTCAATTTTCATTAGATATTTTTGGTTTAGAAGAATACAACTCCTGAAGTTGTATTCGAAAGGATAGTTAAACTACAAAACTTGTTGTGGAATAGTATATGATACAGAGATAATTCCAATTTTGTTAGTTACTTATTCATACCATCTATCTAGCTGCATCAGTGCTGTTAAGTATCCAACTCCTGTATCGATGCAACAACTTTGGAAAATCAAAGATGATAGTTTATACATATGAAGTAAATCTATGATTCACTTATTAGTTCATTATTATTGAGTTTAAACCATTGTTACTTCACTGTGTTTTCATCTACTTTGTCTATTTCTAAGGTTTTTCAATTTCTTTAGGTAACATTCAAAACAGTACCTTTTCATGAATATATATAATTTTTTGTTTGTATCATCCTTCATATCCTACTTTTGAGTAGAGTAAACATGTACACACTGAAAAGTAGATACATCCAACTGACGAGTCCTAAATAGGACAAAATACGTATCCTGAATTCCACTACTAGCCACTACTCATCGTTAGTATCATTTACGCACTTTTTGGGAAGAGTTGCAATCTTTTTGCTATCATTTACTTATTACTTCTATGGATTTCTCCTTTCTCTCTCCTGCTACTTTCTACAGATCTCTCTCGTTTGTATCTCGATTTTTCAATTCAATCGTTCCATTGATAACAAAATTAGAACCTGTTGATACAGAATTCTTGGCTAGAATTAATAAAATATTTGCAACTTATATACGAAATATGGAATCATGTCATCTTCGAGATGCTATTCGGAATGTGTTGACTATCTCTCGTCTTGGTAACGGTTATTTTCAAGCTAATCAACCATGGGTTGCAGTGAAGAAACCCGAGACGAAGTATGTTCCTACTGCCCACTAAGTATTTGATATTCTTTTACTATATTTCTGTTGAATGTTTATTATTTTGAGCTTTCTGGGAGAATCGATGTTATCAATAGTGGCTATACTAAGTTTAGAATCAAGTGACAGAACCACTCAGAAGCTTTTTTCCCAGTTAAATATGGAAAGATTATTCCCATGTAAATTGTCGATCAGTTTTGTGAATTGTGATCTCTTACTCATTCAAAGTATTCACAGTGGGAAATCAGTTCCAAGTCGAAACAAGTAATTTTCTTTTTTTTCTTCAGGCGCTGTTAAGTTTATTCATCTGAGAAATAGTAGACTGTTTAAAAGAAATTCGTGTATCTGCCTAGTAGACTTACAAATTCAGGAAGCATGCAGATGTAATTTAAATTAACATGATTAAGATGGGTCTTTTCTTAGTAAGTTAGACGAATATGCTGTCGGAAGATCATAGTAATAATGGATGGGAAAATACAGTATTTTAACGCAATCTGGAAACAACCCTAAGCATCACTGTGAAGTGTATTAGAGTTTCTAAGAAGGAATACTTTTATGACTAGTTAATTATTGTATTCACTATAGTTGTTAGCAAACTCTATCATCACCTAACACAGGCCTTGCGGTAATCATATTCAGTTTTGATCTCGGTTGGTTCTGTGTAAATGACTAAGCTTATGATGAACCCTTAAAGTGCGTAGAGTAGGAGAATAATACATGAGCAAAATTGAAAAACCATCGGCTGTGTAACATTTCAAAAGAGCTCACTTAAGATAATGTAATGGATTTAGTTCAGTACTCTCTGGTTTCATAAGATGCACGTTATCATTCTGTGATGAAAAACTATTTTGGAAACAAATCACTAATTGGATAAAATAATTATTCAAATTTGACACACTTCATGGAAGAATGATTCGGCTATCAACTAAAGAAAACATGAGTCGACATAGTGTAGTGATAAATTATGGTTTAAAAAAAGCTCATGCAAGATAAGAAAACCATATTAAAAGTGTTAGGATTTTATTTCCTCTTTAAACCTCTCAAAAATTGACATAGTTACTAAAAAAAAATGTTGTGAAACTTAGAATATAAGATTAGGTAAGTTCATAGAAATAGAATGCGTAAAATATTGCTAATCTAGTGTAATTTAAACTCAGTTTAAACACAATGTTTAATTTTATAAAAGTGAAATAATTAGATATTAATGAACGTCAACATCTATGTGTAGCAAAAGGTAGTGTAACTGGATAAAAGTAAATTTTAACAACTAGGCTGCTAAAGCAGAAGAACGTTGACAATCACTGCCTTTTGAACACAAATTAAGTTTTATTCAGAAGATGTAAACTATCTGAAAAAAAGTGATTTATTTGCTTTGTATATTTCGAACAATCTTATTACATATTTACTTGTCAAGGCATTTTATGTGAACACTGGAAGCGGAAGACAACTTTGGTAATACAATAAGATAAACATTACCAGGATAGGTTTAACGTAAGGCAAAACTGTTTTCTAACACAATGGGGGCTTAAATTTGTGCATGATTAGCGCTTCAACAAACCTAAGTATACACTCAGGCGCTTTTGTTCAACTCAACTGACTGACAAAAATCAACGTAAAACCTCCGACAAAGATGGATCGGCTCAAGTTGCCACACTTCACAGCAGTATACAAAGAACAGGTGGATGGAAAAAGACTGATATCGAAGCAGATAAGGTTGCGTGAGATAATAAACAATTTGAAGATAACGGTCAGTTCAAATATTCAAGTTTTAGAAAATGTTAAGGAGTGAATACATCTGTGCCATTGTAACCGATTTCCAACCATTTCACCAATGGTCCTCAACCACTGATTCCTTTTGTCTACATCTGCCCACATGGCTCAAATCAATAGTCAGAGACTTCATCGACTGGCAGCATGTCTTGTTGTGACTACCATGAGCCTTCTTTCAACCTAATCCAACTTCCCCTAGCATGGCACATTGGGGTGGGCGGTGACTTGGCATGCGCAACACATATTGAAGCAATCTCAGCCGATGAATGTTCACTTCCTAGTATTCTCCACCTAACCTCAACACTGTTCACATGGTGATACCAAAAACGTGAGCAATGCTGCGAGGACATCTGTGATCAAAACCTTGTAATCGCTTCATATCGTCTGCTTTTAACGGCCTTATAACGGGACAGGGCAGACTACAGCGCGGCTTACTCATCCTTCGATAGGTAGTCGAATATCTCCCCAACCGGCACTGCAGATGACGCAAGTTGGCAGATGCCAAACGGGCCTTCTGTATCCGAGCTGAGATTTTGCCAGCTGAAGCAACTCCCCAGGGGATTGAGATTGCCGACATTGCACCACTTCTATGACCCTCTAAGTACCTGGACTTCACCTCAATCTTTCTGAAACTGACTTATAATCGTTTGACTTCAATGCGCTATATTATATTGTTCTTTTTAGCTTTTGGTTTGGTGTTTTTTGCTACTTTGTGGAACATTTTTCTCTTGTGAACTGAATCACTTGTAGCAAACCAGCCCTGGAGCATCATCTTACATTTGACGGGTGCGAAACAGTGACTGTGGGCATCCCTGGTGAACGCCAGTGGTCGTCGTCAATTCTGATGACAGCTCTTCATAAAATCTTACATAGCTGTGTGTTCGAGTAGAGCTTCTATCAACGTATGTCTCCGGAATACTCAATGGATGACATTGAAATACTAACTGAAACATTAGTGGGAAATATCTATCCGTTAAAGTTCATAAAGGTTGCAAGACCAGTCAACGTTGAAATTCACTCTGTATGAAATACGTTTGTACCGCGTTACCATACAGAGGGGAGTCTTACAGCGTAATTTTGAAACGAAGGCTAAGGTCCGCTATTAGCATAACATACTACGCAGCTAGGCTTATTGTAGTTAAGATGACCAAACACATGTTGCAACACTGACCTTAAACTTTGTATAAACGGTCGTATCACATCTCACTGTGGTTTTCAATCTACATGTGTGTATGAAGACACACATACATAGAGGGGGTACTAGTCGAGAAATGCACTTGAGGGTGGGGAAACATACCAAAGTAACTACAAAAACAGCTAGATTCACAAACATCGATAAGTACAGGTGGTAGATAACCATCATCGTTCATTGCAGAACATATTATTAATAATGGTCACAGAATTGATATTAAAATTGCCTTCACAATTTTGTATGGAATTTGTCACGGGTGTATACTTGGGTTTATTGAAGCGATAGTCATGCACAAATTTAAGCCCCCGTTGTGTATTTATCTTCCAGTTTTGATATAAAATGCTTCAACAAGTAAATGTATGATCTGACTGACTTATTTTCTGACGTTATCCAAATTCATAAAAGGAACTAACTGTTACATGTTTGATGGCCATAGACTTACTGAACCTTCGTGATAAATAAGCGAGTTTATCTTGAGGTGTACACCTGAACCTCTGTGTAAATTAGTTGTTGGAACAAAAGCATCGTCTAGATAATCATCTTAATGTGATAAATTATTTTTATGTCGTATGCATACGCTACAACCAATGTTTTGAAGAGCGGTATTTAAACAGGATGACAAAATGTCTGTACTGACCAATCAAGAGTTGATTAGTCAATAAAACTGTGACTAATTATTTTAGCATTCGATTTTAAATTATTGTATTCAAACTTCACTTTACTTTCTAAGATTGCCATTAATCTTTTCACAGAATTTACGGCTTATTCATAAACTTGTACTTGGTTTTTGATTTACTATGCAGCTTTCGTGTTCAGTTAGCATTGTCTAATCTAACTACAAAAAAATGGCGTAATTACAATCATTTACTTCATTTTCAGTTTAGTGAATATTAACCTCATGACTCACTGTTTGTTTTGATTTCCGAATCCCTCTTACCCTAAAAAAAAACGTCTGAGTTACGAAAAATGTTTTTTTTTTAAAAAAAAGGATATTTTTCGATTTAGCTTTTCAGTTTTTATCATGTAAATGTAATCATTGTTAATGCAGGTATATTCTACCACTTTTAATACATTTTGTTATTATACTTTGAAAATTTAGATCGCGTTCTGGCGTTGTGATAAGTATTGCTGCAAATGTTGCATGTCTTCTTGGTGCTATGATTTATCCATATATGCCTACGATTGGGAAACAGATTTGGATTGATCAATGTGATCTTCCAGAATGCAAACTGAGTTTTGTGCAAATCATTAAAAAGGAATTTAGAATACAAAGACTGCTACCTGAAGGTCATCGTATTGGAAAGGTTAGTTGTGTTATATGTACTGTTTGTCTTACAGTTGTTGTTTTTTTGCTCCATTATCTTCTACCTACCTATCTTACTTCAATACTGAATTTAAAAAGTAAGGCAATGTAAAATTGTATCATTGCAAATTATTTCTAAAGGTCACTTAAGTATTAATGGTTAATGTGGAAAACTGCTGTGGTATAATGGAAATTGTCCATCTATCAAACAGTTTTTCCGATGATAAGATGCAGTTGTCCAACCTGGAACGCATATGCAGGCCTAATTTCAATAACCAACGTCTAATTTTATGAAAAAATTAAACTGGCATTTATAAAATATTTTTGGAGTAGGAGTACTTTAGTTCTATAACATAATTTTTAAATTTTTACGTGATACCTCACCATCATATGTTCAGTGGCGAGCTGGAAAAGTTAGCTGTTTATAACTGACCCACTAAACATTCACACTTCATTATGGCAGATAGGTGAGTGTCTTTACTTGATTGCCTAATAAGTAAAAAAATAACTGTAGTTATTCTGAGAAATTCTTAAGGACTACTACAATGGAAATAGCTGGAGTAAATGCCTTCAAGTGGTACCCAAGAAACAATACTGTCTAACTTTATCGACCAAAGCTCTATATAGCCTCAGAAACACAGAAACAAACTCAGAAAACTGGTGGAAATAACCTTTTCTGCAACACTATGATGCTAATGCATTTGAGGGATAGATTACAAAATCTAGCAACTTATATGTGTATTGATGAATTTAACTACTCCTGAGGAGATAGTTAAAGAGGTAGAACGACCCGACAAGTCTATTATCGCGCCACTGTCCAGCGTGGTTAGACATAAGGACCATAAAATCCATTAAAAGCTCAATATTCATTCATCTTGTAGATACTTAGCATAAGATTGATAAAAGCCTTAGCATTTATCATTTTATGCAGAGTGTCACCACAATACTCTAAGTTTTTTGAGCCTCCGACTACTTAGCACAACAGGGACCATAGCAATTCCCACTTCACCTTCATATTTACTTGTATTTTGTTGCCTCATCAATCATATCTCACTGTTTTATTTTTTTAGCCTGTTCCTCTTTTCCGGAAAATAGAAGCCAGTGAAATCAAGAAATTATCTGAAGTCCATAGTGGTCAGTCTTCTGAAACATGCACAACCAACGGAAAAACTTAAACTAAGGAAAAGTTGATGTCTTTGTGACTATTTTACGGCATCTTTTTACAGTTGTATTTGAAATGTACTATAAGCGAAATATTCATGACTTTCTGCTAACAACTTTCCAAATATACAACTATATAAGTATCGACTGAGTTACATTGCACTATACATGTTACAGTCGAAAGTAATCATGAAAAACACAAATCATATTGTTAGTCAAAATCATTGAATAAGGGGCATCATTTTGATCACCCTAAGAAGACTGAAAAATGAAATTTGTATTTGAAAAACAAGTCAAAAGTTGGCAGTACAATTTTCCTGTTAGAAAAATGGGATAAGATAGTGCAAACCTGATTCCCGACGAAGTGCGCTTTGAGTACACGGAAAGATACTTCACCTAAAGATGATTTTCGAATAGGCTAGTGCCTATTTTTAAAAGTGTTGAACAAAAATCATTCGAAGGAAAACTTTAGCTTAATATTTTGAGTTGGAGGTATTTCTGACTTCTAAGGTAAAGGATTTCAATACTTCTTTGCAAGGTCATTACTATGCTTTACGCAGTTTGTTAACGCAAAACCGAAATAAAAAAACATATGTATGGTAGTGTATTTATAGCGATCAGAAATTTGAATCAGCTTAATATTACTACTATTGATAAGTAAGCAATAAAGTTGCATGGTCTGTATGTGTCTACTAGTGTGACCAAAGCAAAGTACTGACATCAGTGGCACTCTTTAATGTGAATGTAAATGGGTATCTTTCAGCCAAAAAAATCGACGTAAAACTCAGTACTGAATAACTTTGCTTCGATTTGTAACTATTCACAACAACACGCAAAGAAGTAGATAAAGAGTGATATTAAAGTAGACAATAGTGTATGATAATTGAGAATATATATGGATTGACTGATGAAAATACTCAACACTTCGAAGATTTCATGGAGTGTATACGTCTGGGTCATTGTGACCAATCTCCAAACATTGATTCCCACATCCCGAGGACTATAACCAGACAGCTTGCATGGCGCACATCAACATTTGAAGACTTCATGGACTGGTGCTGATTCTTGGTCTAGTCATCCCTAGCCTTCTTTCAAGCCAGTCCTACTTTGGTGAATTTGGACGTTAACGTAGGTGGTGGCTCGGCATGCACGTTCACCCACGTCAGTCGGCGAAAGTTCACAACCTCATCGACTAACTGGCCTTCCTTGCCCTCCACCTAGCCTCGATACTGCTCAAACGGTAATTCCACCCTTTGGCAGGTACAAAGCGCCTGCAAACCATACTCAACTTTCTGCTCAAGGCGTTCAAAAGACTGTATTTGCCTAAGAGGACAGTGTCATCTGCTTGCTTTAAGTCAGTCAGGTATCGTCCTGAGTGTGGGTTATTCTCCGTAAAGTCGGAGTTTCTCAGAGTTAGTCCGATTGCCATGGATATAACGAAGTTGAACAAGAACGCTGACAGTAGACACTCTTGGCAGATACCATTATATATTCCATGTTAGGTTTTTTTATTTGATTTGTAACACACAGTGATACAGAATTATTTACTTGATGAAATTTCAAGCATAATTTATTGCTCATAATCATATCAATGTAATCACACCACTTTCGACACCTGCTTTTTATAATCCTATCGCTTTATTCTTTGTTTCTATTGGTAGTAAACTTTTCCATATCTCTGGTGTTGGTGTTACCTCATTTCTATTATAAGTGTTTTGTGTTGATTCGATGAACAGACCCGAATAAGAACAATAATCAAGAAAAAAAACTTTGCTGTTGCAATGCATGCATTAACACAATACGTTGGGGGTAAAACTACTGTGCGTAAGTCCAATATAGTTAGGTGGAGAGAGAAGTTGATCACTAAAGCTTTGCTCATCGAATAAACACCAAACACTTAGAAATGAGACAACACCGGTAACAAAGACATATGGAAAAATTTACTACCAATAGAAACAAAGAATAAGAGGTGACAGGACTATAAAAAGCAGGTGTCGAAAGTGGTGTGATTACATTGATATGATTATGAGCAATAATTTATGCTTGAAATTTCATCAAGTAAATAATTCTGTATCACTGTGTGTTACAAAGGAAACATATAAGTCTTAAGTGCGTTCATAATTTCTCATATGACATCGAAAACAAGATATGCAGCGAAGAGGACTCTTTTCAACGAATTTATTCTCAAGCTGTACATTCGTATATATATATATATATATATATATATATATATATATATATATATATATATATATATATATATATATATATATATATATATATATATATATATATGATATTTAAAGACTAATCCCTGAGGAAGATTTAACTTAAATAATGGGGATTGAAACAATAATAATGGTGGTTATAAGTATGATAATATTGCTAGTTGAATATGGAATTAAATTCTACCACAGTGTCCAAGTTTTAAACTTATACTAACCATTATACGTTGTTTCTTCCGGTGACTACTCTCCGTAAGACTTTCGGCGACCATATGAGTTCGAGTAAAGGGCCATGATTAACATTGTGTGCCTAACTAACACTCTCTTTACAACCGGCCACTACTGTAATACTTCGGTTGACAGACTTAAATGCCACCTCCAGGTAGAGAAGTGTGACTGGTGTATGAGGTCTGTGTGTTTCCTAAACTTGTGAAAGAATTGGATCTTATCGATACAACCTCTTTCGCGGTCGAAGTGTCCCTGCTTTTCTCTAGTTTATTCTTCTTTAGCTGCCAAGGTGTAATCAATTAAGTTGATGAAGCATTAGGTTCATGTAGTCAGCCAGTGGTTTGGAAAATCCTATATGCGAAACAGTTGTTCATAATTACTATTATGGACAATTTGTCAAGTGACCAATTAACGATTCTGGAGTACGTTTGGGGTTTCGTTGTAGAAGTAATCCATGTCCAAATAGAAAAACGAAATCAACGTAGAACCTGGCATTACTGAGTAACAGTTCGTGTTGCCGCACCTTATGTTCCTACAGAAGACGGTTAATACCTCAAAGTGAATGAAGCTAAGCAGTACGAGAAATCGATACAGAGAAGATACCAACAGAATGCACGTTAGGTTTACTCAATAAAGACATTCAGCGATAAGGGGTCGAAGTGAGTAGGGGCCAAGAATAAGCTGGATGAACACTTGAGAGTATGGAAACACGAACTGGTTCACAGTAACTTGCTTGGTAAAGGAATTGGCTGGAATTCCGATCCACTGGCCTCAAGCCACTGGGGAGGGTTTGGGGAACGCGCGATTCGTACACTCAGCAACCATCCATTGGTTCCACCTACATCCGGGGTTGAAAATCTAACAGCACTAACTTCAGCAAAGTTGTTGCTCTTGAGAGACAACTTAGAAAGTTTTGGGTGTACATGCAAGAGCGATAGATTTTCCAAAGGACGACGACAAGTTAATTATCTTGCAGAAATAGTTTGGAAACGTTGGTCCAAATTGTGTGTTTCATTGTTACGACAACGACAGGTGGACGAATTCTGAGAGAAACATCCAAGTAGGTGACTTAGTCATGATAGTGTCGGACATCGGGGATAGGAATAAAGAGTCTTTTGGACCAGTACAGCGAGTGGTGTGCAGTTAAGGTACGTCGGCTAGATGGACAAGATTAAAAGCAATGAGGGAAAGGTTTGTGAGAGACATTTGTAAGGTTCCTCCTAGGGGCGTTGTATGAAAGGTAGTCAGTAGGGAACCCCCAGGCGTACTATTGTATGTCCTGAGAGCCATCGGGAACGTTGGTGCAGGGGGTCCCCAAGCGTACTGGTGTAAGCTCTGGGGACCACTTAAGGATATATGTATGCTTGTGTCCGTCCGTCTGATGCGGTAAATGTTATTGGATGCTAATGGTTGTGATTTTGTTTTTGTAATCTATTCAAAAACACAGACCACTCATTTTGTTTGACTTCATTCAATTTGCTCGTACAACCATATTCAACCTTTTGTTTCAATTCCATTGTATTTCGTTTTGGATAGAAACCGCAGTAGCCGTTAAATTTGAAGGTTTGTAATTACGTTTTGGACATATATTTTGTTTTCGCAGGGTTGACTTACTGTTTGAATATACATTCGTGTCTTGGCAACCAAACGTTTTGAATCTGGTCGGTTTCACTTTGGGTTTTGTGAACTCTGGGGATTCGTATCTTCGTTACGTGCTACTCAGCGGATTTGACGTAACAACTAGTACTCACACCCTTGTATGCAATCGTAAACCCTTCGGTATTGAAGGAACTCGATGACTTAATTAACTCTGATCCATATATTTAGAAATCTAAGTACGTTTACAGTGGACGCAATGGCTCGACCATTATTACTTGCAGATTGCTCCATTATACTTCGTATTTGTGAATATAATATGAATGTCAAGAAATTTATGGATATACATGAACTTCAGGAATTCAGTGAGTAGAAGTTGAAACAGAAATGGGGACATGCAAGTGCAAATACAATGTGAGGGCCTACTCCATAACTTGCTGTACTGTATCATAAAGTATCCTGACCTAAGTTTAAGGCGGCGTTTCTCGACAGGTACAGTGCACTTATGGTTGTGCAGACTGTATAAGGGTATAGATTTAAAAGTAGGAGAGTAACAGGCATGAGTAATGCCACACAGAAGGCGGAAAAATATGTTAAGGTTGAGCTTAAGGCGTCTTAGTCAATCATCAGTTTCTTACATCTTCCTTCATAATCAAGTTCTTCATGACGGCCCAGTAGGTAGCGGGTAAACTTTCTTTGAATATTCTCAACGCGTATCCTATCCGAAGCATACGTATTGCTGAAGATGATTGTGCCATATTCAAGTACTGGGCAGATCATTACTTCGAAAAAAAGCAGTCAAGCCTTAGTGGTATATAAGTGTTTAAGCAAGAGGCCAACTGAGCGCCTTCATTTGTGTGATGGTCAGTTTGGTAAATAATACACTTTCGCTGCGTGATACATCTAATAAACAAGACAAATTAAAATTATTTACAAAACGGAACTCAGTCGCACACGATTGCACTTGTGATCCTCCTGTTATGCAACTTACCCTACAGATTTGATCGCTGATCATTCGATCGTTGACTAAAACTGTCGTATATTTTGGAACAACAAATGAACTGCATTCATCTCATCAAAAAGAGATTGATTTATAGATTGAT